GCGAAGGACGTAAGTTGGGGCAATCTCAGCTCGTCAGAAGCCCAGTCCAGCGATCCGATGGCTCAACAGAGGCAAGACGTGGAGCTTGCCAAGACGGACTTGCTTCTCCTTGAAGCGCACATGCAGACCGTCACGATTGCGCATGGCAGCTTCTGCGGCCCCAACGACGGCCCCCCGCACCTCTCAGAGCAATTGGACGAGACAGAGGAGTGCATCAGCTACCTATAACAGTCCAAGGCTACAAAATCCGAGGACTTCCTCAACGCGAAGGCCGGCGAGGCTGTTGAGAGTGCAACTCAGCGTTTCACCCAGGAGATCGTGGACGCCGCGCTATGCGCGCGCTGGAAAGAGGACCTGACGTGCCCCAGCGTCGCCCCGAACGTCAGCCAGGCGGCCTCAGGGGCGGCAGGAGCAGCTCCCAGCGAGCAGCCCGCCGGCGACGCAAGCGCACTAGGAGCCTTGAGGAGGCGCGCTGAACAGCACCCAGAAGAAGAGGGCAATGCCGATGAGGCGGACCGAGCACGGCAAGGACTGCGTCAAGGGTCAGGGCAAGGGGGGCGACGCCAGCGAGCCAAACCGCGGTGGAGAGCGGAAGCGCCCGCGCGACAGTAGCTCGCCAATGCAGACGACGCCGCAACTCGTGCGAATTCCGCGGGGCTGCAACCCATGGCCGCCGTTGGAGGCGACGCGCCCCCCATGGCAGCATAATTACCCGAAGGGCCCTCAGCTGCCGCCGCCGTGGTTGAGCCAGGATGAAACCCTGAACAAGCAGGGTGCGATGCTGCCTGATCATTTGATGCCGCAGAAGGCGGCCCCCGGCAGGCGCGCCCCAGTGGCCGCCGACGACTCACGAGGCAGCACTTCGGCAGCCCCGTACATCCCCAGACTGTGCAGCGATGCAGGTTGCTCCCAGGTTCAGGTCGCGTGGCTTGCGACCAGAGTTTGGAGCGCGCCAAGGCCTTCCATAACGCTTCCGAGCGCAGAGTTCGAGCGAACGCGCAGGGAGAACGAGGCGAGACAGAGGTCGGCGCCAGCCGCAGTGCCAGCAGCCGCAGCCCCAACGCCGCGATGTGCCACCACGACGGATGACGGCTATACGACGGTCATGGGCGCGTGGCCTCCGCTGGGCGCTAATTACGCGCTGCGCTGGCGGATGGTGGATCTGGAACCACGACATGCAGAGGCTGCAGCAGGAGGACCAGTGGCAGCACTGGCTCGACAGACAGCGGCGGCCCCGCTGGCCTGGCCCGATGGGATCGGAGCTCCGACCGGCCCGCGATCGCACTGGCAACGCAGAGACACAGGCGCCGGCACTGAGCGCTCGGACTGGCGCCCCTATGCAGGTGGCGCAGACTCCAGAGCTGGGGGCTCGTCTGGCAGCCGCACGTGGACTGACCGCCGCGATGAGCGCCGCTGAGTTGGCGCTGGTGGGTTTAGGCCTGTGCGGTTTTCCATGAAGGCTTAGCTGGCTGCAGCGGTCGGCGGCCCGTTTGCCAGATTTTTCCACATGCGCCTATGCACCGCTTTGGCCTGTGCCAGTGCTCTGTCGCCTGTGCTCGTGCTCTGTTGCCTGTGCCCGTGCCCTGTTGCCTGCGCCAGCGCGTAGCTAGCGCGCAGAATGTGCGTATGTCGGTTTCATTTCTGTTTGAGAGAGGCCTGCCACGGGGGGAGTCATCCTACACGGATGTGCACCCCATTTCTGTGGCGTTTTCTCATTATCTAATGTAGTGTGTATTTGCGCAGCACGTCATGCTGTGTTGGCCACGAACAATGTTCCGGACGTTCCGGACATGCTGCGGACAAAAAGTTGTTCCGGACAGTTTGTTCCGGACATATGTTCCGGACAACTGTAGGAATCGACGTCCTTAGGGGCCGCGCGAGCGCCCTCGGCCTGGAGCCACCATGGGAGCGTGTCGCGGCCCAGAAACGTACGATTCGGGGCCCGCCGGCTCCGCATCATTTGAAATCTACGTCCCTGGGCGGGGGTGGAAGCGGAGGAGGAGGACGAGGAGCGGGTTGAGGAGGAGGAGGAGCAGGAGGGGGGAGGAGGATGAAGAGGTCGAGGGGGAACGAGGAGAATCGAAGAGGTAGAGAGGATGGAGTGTGCGAGGGGGCGAGGTAGGGAGAGAGGAGGAGGAGGAGGAGGAGGAGGAGAGGAGGAGGAGGAGGGAGGAGGAGGAGGAGGAGGAGGACGAGGAGGAGTTGCTTTTGCTCAGTTGGTGCCATCGGCCACAGCGGGGGGGAAGGACGAGGAGAGGAGGAGGCCCAATACAGCCCCAAAACGACCCCAAGAGCAGGCCCAAAGGGCAAAACCGAACAGACTTTCCGAGCCCTCGCCTCCAAGACGCTTCAGGAGGTCCCGAACAGCTTCCTCAAAGTCCCAAAGAGGCCCCAAGATGACCCCAAACGGACCCCAAGAGGCCCCCAGGAGGTCGCCAGGAGGGCCACAAACTGGGCCCCACAGGCCCACGGACGACTGCCGATTGGCTTCTCACCCACAACCCAAATGCCGAGCCAGAGGTGGCCCGATGTGGGCGTACTGCCTCATTCCAGGGGTCGGCGGACGTGGCGTAAACCTATAACATGATTGCGCCCCAGGGCGCCAGAATCGTCCCGAGCGGCCGCCAGAAGCCCGAGTTACGCCCCCAAAAGATCAAGGCTTCACATTGAAGTCAAACCTTCATGTGAAGCCTTGCGTTTTTTCACCCAGGGACCTCCATTTTAGTCCTCCCAGCGCCAGGGCGCTCGAAATCTGCGTCCCTGGGAGGCGGTGG